AATGGATGGTTCTTCAGGAAAGTTTTCAAATTTATCAGAACCCAGATCTTCTTTCTATTAGCCTGAGAGATCTGCAAATAAATTAACTATGAAGAAATTTATGAATGTTTGAATGTTGAGAACCCACGTGAGCATAAAAAACGGAACAGCGGTGGAGAATTGCACACGTACAACAGCTGCAGTACGTTTTGAGAAGGAACAATCTGGAGTTTTGGAATTTTCATGTCTAATTTCATAAGAAGGCATTTGGGAAAAGGTGTAACCTTCTGAATGAAGGGTTCGCAGTCACATTAATATACTGCAATGATCCAATTTTTCACATAGCAGAGGGGACTTGAAGGTTTGGAGAAATTCGGTAGTTTTCTTAAAGTGGGATTTTCGCGATTAGAAACTCACTTGAGTCCATACAAAATACAGAGTTCACCTATTTAATGAGTAAAAGTTTACGTTGCTTCGATTCCCGTCCTATACGCGAGACAAAGCGTGTATCGTATTATAACTCCCACTGCCCACCTCCTCTTTCCATGTACCTATACTCCAACTGTAGAGAACATGGTGGTACATGAACACAAGCTGGATTGGGTGGAATTCAGCTATGAAAATGTATTCCGCACCCTGAACAAGCTCCCCTCCGATGTTCTACCTCACCTGATGGATTGCCCTACATATTTCTGAAGAAGGCTGCAGAAGGTGTCACCCCTGCCCTTACACACCTCTTCAACAGAATACTCTTGAAAGGGAAGTGCCTGCTATCTGGAGATTGGGACTGGTTAGACCAATATTCAAAAAGGGAAGCAAGAGCGACTACAGGAACTATAGGCCTGTATGTCTCACCTCGGCAGTTAGTAAAGTAATGGAAAGGATGGTGTGTGATAGGATCAGAAACTTTTTCATATCGAAGGGTCTCGTGTCTCCCTGTCAACATGGTTTCCTTCCAAAAAAGTCGACCGCTTCAGCACTTCTTTCCTCTATACCAGCATGGCAGTACGCCATGGACAAAAAGACATCGGTCTTTGTTGCATACATTGATTTTTCTAAAGCGTTCGATTCCATACCTTTACCTCTCCTGTTTCTCAAAACTGGAGCAACTTGGGATTGCTGGATGTCTTCTCAATTTCATAAAATCTTTCTTCTCTAATAGGTTTCAAAGGGTTGTTCTCAGTGGCACATGTTCTCTGGTTCATCTATGTAACTGAGAGCGGGTTCCTCAAGGTTCTTGTCCAGGACCCTTAAAATTCGGTACCTTAATGATCTTACCTAGTGCTCTTCCTTCTGGTACACATTGTTCGATGTATGCGGATGACTTAAAGGTTTACTGCTTCGATCAGCCCTTACTGTTACAAGATGCTCTTGATACAGTGTCAAGCTGGGCTCGTAGATGGGGACTTACCATTTCTCTGGATAAAACGTTTGTCTTGCGTTTGGGGCCTCCTTGCCGATCCGCTCCGAAGTTCTTGGTTAACGGAACTGAGGTAAAGGAACCTGATTTACTCACTGACCTGGGCATTTCTTATTCTCGCTCATTGTGCTTCAATGAATATATTACCAGAGTGGTTCACTCAGCACATTGCAGAGCAAACTTCATATTGCGTGCCTTCTCTACAAAGAGCACAAGAACACTATTCAAGCTTTTTGCTACTTATGTTCGCCCTCTTCTAGAATACTGTCCCATGGTGTGGAGTCCCTCTACGCGTAACATGGTTGAACTTATTGAGAGTGTTCAGTCTAAATTCACTGAAGAATTTTTGCTCGCCAAGGTATTTTCCATATGTCTATAAAGATAGACTAAGCCATCTAAACGAGAACTCCCTAGAAATGAGGAGGAAATTATCCGATTACGACTTTGTTTACAAGCTTTCCGCTGGACAGGTAGATTTGGATTTTGATACGCTGTTCAAAAAATCTAACAACTATTGGCCGCACAGATATAGTAGACTCTTAAGAGAGAAAACCAACTCTGCTGAATTTCGAAATTCATTCACACAGAGGATTATTACTTTCTGGAACGATTTACCACCATCTGTTGTGCGTTCGAGTTCTGCAAGCCTCTTTTAGGAGAAAAGTCAAAAAAATTATGATTTCTCAAGGTTGGTTTTAAGAACAAGAAACTAAACTAATTTAAATTCAAGAGGCAGAGAAGCGATTCATTCGGTTATAGCTAATTTACCTGAATTTGTAATGATTGCAGATTTTTATGTTTTATCTGTTTGTTTAATTTTACGTCTCATTTCTTCATGTTGTTTTGGAAATAATCCCCCTTTGGGCCTGCGATGCGGAGAGTTGGATCTCGGCAAGTTGGCGGACCTACTAAGTCGGTATCCGGAGTTCTACGTCGTCGCTTCCGCAGGAGCTTGCAGTGTGGCGGCCACTGCCCTTCTTGCCGACTTTCCACTCCCACGCAGCTTCAACCCTTGCTACCCATTTAATTTCGAGTTTTCTACTTATCGGTGACTTGTTTCTGTTTCTTTCTTGATGTTGTGTTCTTACTAATGATATCCGATAAGAAAGCATAAATCATAAACCATACATCAATGGTGACCGTAAAATATCGAATAGAAATAAATGGCGCTGATGCA